AATATATATATGTTATATATATAACATATATAATGCGTGCCCACAGCTTACCTCTCCCCAGCTTCTGTAGGACACCCTCCGCCCACTCATTGCCCAGCACCTGTGTGTCACCCAGCACCCCCTGCAAGGTGGCACAGCTCCCTGCCCCGAGCCCCTCTCCTGCACCTCTCCAGGGGTGCCGCATGGTGCTGGGAGGCAGTCAGATGGCACCGGTCACCTCACCACATCACGCCATTGCACAGGGGATGACAGGCAAGATGCATCCCCTGAAATAGGAAGAAAAATTCAGCACAGCTGGGTGATTTCTGCTGTCACGGGACTGGGGCTCTGAGCTTGACCAGGACATCTCAGGTATCTGCCATTGCACCAGCAGCTACCAGAGCCTTGTAAAGGGCCCACCTGGTACCTTGGCTATAGCGTACACGGGCACATACAGTGAGCTGCACATCCTCTGACAACGCCACCGCATATCCTCTGAGTGAGCAGGTCTCCGCTTCCTGAGTCAAGTCAACTAATCCTATAGCCCCAATGCTTCCAAAGCCCATCTCCTACTTTGTAAGTAAAAAAATATATATATGCATATCTCTCACTTTCTAAATGTGTATATAAATATATTATTTTCCTTTTTACAGTTACAAATTGCATTTACAAATGGGTTTTATTTTTTTGGTATCTATGCAAGCTTCTTAGGGAAGATTAGCTCAAGATATAAACTTTTGAAAAATGCTTTTATTTTTTCATATTTTTTTAAAGCCTACATCGAAATATACTCTATATATCTGTAGTCGTAAACTCTGTCGGGTAAATTTCGTTCTTCAAACACACAGAATAAAACTAATGCCACCGCCACATCCACCTTTGTCTTCACCTTTCCATCAGCTTCCTGGAGCACATCAAGCCTTTACCCGACATTCAGGTCCAAAATGTTCTGGAGGTTTTTTGCCACATGCTGAGGTTGGTTGGCAGCATGCTCCATCAGCTTGGAGCCCATCACTTCGTAGAGGGTCTTTGCAAGCCTGGCGACCACAGCCCTGACATTGCCACTTCGGATAGGCAGGACACTGTTTCCCAGGAAGAACCAGAGCGTGGGCAGGGCATAGCGCTTGGCAGCTTGGGGTTTCCGGGGATAAACAGATGCCACAAGCACTGTCGGGTGAGAGAGACAAGCTTCTTAACAACCTCAATGCAAACAACTACTTATCTTTATTTTTGGTTCTTGGAAGGCTTTTATGTCTAATATCAGCAAGCACAAAGAGCCCAATGGTCCAGAAACAGGCAACAGTGACTGAGCATCCACTGAACAGAACAGTCAACCTCTGAGGACCTTAGTTTCTCCAAATCAGAGGCTTTGTATCCGTGATAGACTTAGCAAAGTGTAATGCACATTTTATAATTAATTTATTCTTATACACATTTTGTAACCCATTTCACTACCCGCTTCTGCATTACGAATGACAAAATCATCAAGTCGCTGTTTATTTCCATTAAGAACTTGTCTAAACCAGCTGCTGAAGATTTTGAAATGCAGCTCGGAGAGGTAATTGAAAGATTGCTAATAAAAAGGATGATTACTTTTTTGTGACCTTTGATGGAAAATGCCAGAAGTCTAATACGGCAGTTCCCTTTGCTCAGTGGCACACAGCAAACGGCAGTATTATACCACACTTCAAAACTCCATCCCACAAAAGATGTGTGCTGCTTGACAGTTTTATTAGAAACATCAGTGACTAACTGATGTCTTTGGCAAAATGGTCTAATTTGAGCTTTTTTTCCCCTCATACTTGGTGGCTTCTAATGAGCAGCTGTTTCAAACTTCAGGATGTCTTAGATAATTACCCAGACCCCATTGCCATGGCATTTGAGCATCTCACAATTTTAATGGCATTTACCCTCACAATGTTCCCTGAAGTGGGGAAAGAGAGATAGAAAAATCTTACACAGGGGGCTGAAATTTAACCAAAAAACAAGCATTCCCTCTCATTCTCTCTGAAGTTTGCTCTCAGCTCATTTTCTGAACTGAACTATATTAAATACAAACAAAAATTTACTACCAATAGGCTCCTTGCATGGCAGATTTTGCTGAGAGATCAAAATAAGACAGAGTTCTTATTTTCTGTGCAGTGGAAATGTTATGCAGTAACCATTTATTATTCTGTAATGGAAGGACCTTCATTTCCTTTACACTGTTAATCTAGTATCAGTCATCAACATTTAAACAGCTCCTCAAAGTACCTAAAAACAATTCTGGTAAGCAGGAAAAGGGTTATGGTACCTATTTTAAAATAGGAGTTAAATTGAGTTTAAATGCTATTAAACACAGTGGTCACTATGGAGCTTCAGAAGAGAAAGAGCTGTCTGTTCCCGCTAAATCCCGGAGAGAACACCTGCTCTCTCTAAAGTAGTCCCAATTTATGTTCAAATGCTTTATTTGAAAGAGAGATTAAAAAGCTGTAAAACTAAATTCTATGTTTATGGAGATTTACTTTATTCAAATTATCTTTAAAGGGCCTTTTACATTCGCTCTGGCTAAACATGGCCTTTTGAGATTCATAATGAAGAATCAAAGTGTATTAAATCTTGGATTAAAAGATGCTGGAATAATTAGCGGTGGATTTAGCCCTAATTAAAGCAAGGCTATAAATAGTCGTCTCTAGTATATATTGAGATTATAATTTTTTCCATTCCTTGGCTATTGCTGACATAGCAAGCTACTATTATAAATCAATTATCAGTTACAGTTGTAGTGTGTCAGACATCGCTGATATAGAAATAGACTGCACATCCTGAAATGCTCAGAGTCCAATGTCATATCTACAATACAGAAAGGGAGCCTCAGTGGGTTGGGGCGAGCTGCCTGCTCTTGCCTTCTGCCCCCAAATCCTGCCTTGCACAAAATCCTTGCCTGTAATATTTGGGTTGAGTTTTCACCTATGCTATGACCCCCAGGCTCTGCAGGATTCAGCCTCGAAAGCTTCCAACAGAAAAACAAGAATCCTGTGATGACAAACCAAACTGATCCTCAGAAATACCAGTTACCACAATTTTTTCTAAAGGATGGTCCTTTTCTTTAGAAAAGGGACCTCTTACAGATCTCCATGACCTTTACTGTATTGTCCTTCAAAGAGAGGAGCCAACCAGGGTATTTTTAGCCCCTCTCTTTCCTGGGGGCAGGTCCTGAGATGCCCCCGTGAGAGCTCAGCACTGGAGCAAGCACCATCCTCATCTCACATGCTGCACGCCTCCAGCAAACCCCGGCCAAATACACTTAGTATGTGTATTTTGCAGGAGGGACAAGCTCAAGACCTTCTGGTGTTTGATGAGCTATTACACTGTCTATTCAGAGGCATTCCCTGTAAATATTCCCTCTGAAGACTTCTTAACTTAGAAGTGGAGATCAGCTGAAGCAGGCAATACCTGAGATACGTTCTGTCACATCCAGCAGAGCTTGGCCGCTGAGTGAATGCACTCGGTGGGCAAAGGCTTGCAGCAGCATTGTGTTATCTGAAAGAGAAACATTTATTTCTGCTCATTCTTCTGAAGTTATAAGACACCAAAAAAGAAGAAAAGGAGGGGAAAGGGCAGGGGTAACTGCATTTTGTAAAATAAAGTAAATTTCTGCCAGTTTCTGAGCCCTTTTCTTCTTCTTTCCTCCAAGCTTACTTGGGAAGATTATTAAATTAAGAAAGAAAAGCTCTCATTTCACATTTGTAAATCCAAAGTTGACTGCTGTACAAGAAGCTGTGTTAAACATTTCACATCAGGGCCCTCAAAATTTAAATCACATGTAAGCAATGAAAAGGTTTTGCATCCCGGAGTTTTGCAGAAGTGAACCTTCTCTCTCCTCAAAGGAGAACAGTGAGAAAGCTCAAAAGTCCCCACATCCATTCATACTTTAAGGATAAGCTGGTATTAAATCTTAGTTATCTGTTGGGATCTATGGACAAGACTCCAAGTTACTCTTAGAAGAGAGAATTTCTACTCATTGCCAACACCATCTGCTCTTGAGGGCTCTTGTAACATCTCTGAAATCAGATCTTGGGAGAAAGGCTGGAAAACTGATTTCCCAATATTTCACTGTCATGTATTTTAGTTTTCCCTATGCTGCCTGTTGACAATTTGGGGTCTTGTTTTAATTTATAAACTGTTGCCTGGATTGGTCTGCAAGCCTCCAGTCTTACCAGTTTGATAAGCCAAGCAAAGCTTTTCTTGGAAGCAGAATGCACGTGGGATACACTACGAGACCTGGCGGTGTCACCAGGAGAGGCGCCGATAAAGCAGGCAACCTACTTCTTTGTGAGCCACTACAGAGCCAAATCCCAAAGTGGTTTATGTAGCACTGTGCTATTAAGCGCTCCTTTTTGCATGAGAGATACAAAGGAAGACCCTAATGAACTTCTTGCAAGCGTGCAGTAAAGAATTGATTCTGCTACCCTAATTAAGCTTCTGCTTTGGTAATTACACTCTTCTCATTCACCTTTTTAAACAGACATTTCACTTTTTGCCTCACACTCTTGCAGTATTGGCAGACACTGTTTCACACTTGCGTTCCTCTCCAGAGAGCTACCTTACACCCACTGCTTTGAAAAAAAACACCCTGAAATCTGGAGATCTTGAAGGAACACAAAATGTTAATTAATTGTTAATATCAGTATCTGCACAGATTTTCAGGGGAACAGTTGGGATTTGGGTGGGTGAGGGGGAACTGTTAATTTGCTCGGGTTTTACGAAGCTAAGTATATAGGCACTACTCACCTTTCAATTTAAGGGTTTCAAATGCCCTGTGCATTTTGAAACAGTAAAGCTCAAGTCAATAACAAATTTACCCAACCATTACTTTAGCAGTATTGAGAGACCTAAGGACAGAGGAGCTTCTAACGGCTGTTAGAGAAAACAAGGCAGCAGGCAGTTCAATTCTTATTAACTCACCTTTAATTCCCTGCACTACATATTAGCTAAACCTGTTGGCCACAGGACAGAGAGCCCAGTATTCATAATATGAGCAAACGAAGAATGTGCTTCTCCGCACTCTCATTTTCACTGCGGCCCCCTCTTTGCTATGTGTTAACATCTACAGGGGAAATTTCCCTTCCCCTCTTGCAGAGGGATGGTTCCTCTTGGAGCTACTTGGGCTGCCAGCCTGACTCCATGCCCTGGCATCAGGCAGTGGACATCTGAAGGGTATTTCTTTCATGACATAGGACAGGGTAGGACAGATGTCAGAGGAGAGCAAGATCTATGCCTTGGTCCCATTGCAGTTGGGCTAGATTTGCTGATTCGCCCGCATCTACAAGGTGGCTCCCTCGAGTGGGATTAGGGTCCCAGGTCCCAGCTAATGAATGTGTGTGGCCTTCAGCTGGGGATGTCCAAGCCCAAGTCAGGGTTAAGCTAAATAAATGATTCAGGCATTATTTGGAAGCAAATTAGTTTGTTTGTAGGTAGAATTTTGATCTTGGGGATGGGTGTTTTGGTTTTGGTTGTTTTTACATCAAGTGATCAAGCAATTTTCTAACCAGCTTGCATTTTTGCATGGATCATTAAAGGTGATAGATGAGGAAGTCTCATCTAAAACTCAGAATTGAGGCATGTCCACACAGTCTCAGAGCAATAGCTGGGCTCTTAGCTATGAAGCTCAGTGAGCAATGGGGCAAGATATTGCGCTTGCTTACTCTAAGCTAGGAGCACTGCACAATCCTTTAGAATGCAGGGGGTTTTTGTCATTTGCCACTTGATTTTAAATTGTAAAGGCAGACAATTTTAAAGCATGTGGGAAGGTTTCGCTCATGCATTTTTCCAATAGAGTCTTCCTTCCCCCACTAAAGCCTTCAGTCTTGAATTTTGAAATATTTGTGATTCAGTTGCCTGTTTGAATTTTTGCAAATGCCCATAAAAATGAGCAGAAAAAAAAAAATATATCCTACCTTCTTTGCTTGAATCTGTCTCTGGGTAGAGTCAGTGTGATGAGAGACAGATGTGCCTTGGTCCTGTTCTGACATCTGCCAGCATGGAAAATTTACAGTGATCTCTCAGAATTGGTGAGAAGGGAATGACAGAAAGCTCCATACAAAACCCTGAAGGGATCTGTTTGCCATATCCTCTGTTAACAGGATTCTGCAACTTTCCCCCAACCTTCTCCCAAGCACCACAAAAAATGGGTAAGGGCCAAGAGCAGTACGGGTCTCACACCCTTCTCCCCACTTCATGATGAGGAACAACCCTATACTTGGGACACAGAAAGGCAGTGGGTCAGCAAATTCACTGAGTTCACAAAGCAGCTATGTGAAGTTGTTAATTCCCCTTTAAGACCTGCCTCTTCAACACTAAATTTTTCAGGCATATTCACCCAGTGCTGCATTTGCACAGCTGCCATAAATCAGCTTGGCAAGGGAATTTACAGCAGACCTTGGCTGTGTAGTTATTGGCTATAGCAATCTTGCCCCATGCAGAACAACATTTGGAACAAGCCATCATTTACAGCTGGATTTATACCTGTTTGTTCTAAAGAAATGAACTTGGCAAATCATAAATTCCCTTTAAAAAAAAAATAAGACAAAGAAGAAAGGTAGAAAATAGAACCAACTAATGCCCATAATGTTGAGCCTTCCAGGAAGCTGTTCTGCAGAAGCTCTGATGGGCCAGTGTCCCTTCACACCAAAAGCAAAGCAATTCTTTTGGGAAATCAAATTAGGCGCAAACAACCTCCAAAAATCCCTTTGTCCCTGAATTCTAGCAAAGTTGTACTCCAGGATTTATTGTTCAGCTCCTTCTGTAGCAAAGCAGACAAGCAGATGAGCCAAAGGCTCCTGGGACTTTGGGGAAATGCTGGTACACATTCAAGCCTGTCTGGGAACTGGTGCAGAAGGCCTGCACCACCACAGCTTCTGGTAACCCAGCTCACCAGTTACAGTCGACAGGAATTCAAGTCCTTCGATAGATAGCATAAACGACACAAGTGATCTGCAAATCTGGTATCAACCATAGAACCCAAACATTTTATGTAGAACCTGCTTTTCTGTAGTAGAATTTGATCAGTATATAAAAGAACCCTCCTAGTGAACACTTTTATTGATGGCGTTCATCTTTCCAAAACTAAACTCCTTGCATGCATAAAAGTATGCACACACCAGCTCTCATCTCCCATTTCAACATGGCTAAACTACTGCCTAAAACTGCAAAATGAGTAACTGAGTTCAAAGCTTTTCATATTGGGGTCAGCAAGGGCCAGACACATCTGGTCAGAAGAGCTGCCACAGCCAGAGCGTGGAACGAAGCCCAGCAAGAGCAAAAAGCCTCCACCACCTTTCCCATCACATGTTTCAAGGAAAAAGCACATTCCCTTCATCTTGTTTTAGTGGATATAAACTTAACAGAATGCACATCTTAGAAGTCCAATTCAATAAAAAACAAAATGCATGCAATTTGCCAGGAGAAAGGGGAAAAAACAGTCATGACAGATGCTAGTCTCTTCCCTCATGCTTTTCTGGCAGGAACTTAAAATAATCCCTATAATGTCCTCTCTACTGAATTAATAATCAGACATATGATCCAGGTGATAAGCAGCATCCATTCAGCTGCACATCACAACATGATACAACAGGTCAGGATAGAAAGAATGTAGGCAGGACTTCAGAAACATCTTACAACATCTGGGTATTTCCACAGACAACAAAAGCTATCAACAGACTCAGTGTTGTCTTGGCTCTGAGATGGAGGAGCCACAGTTGAGGAGACTCAATGATGTCAGAGGTCAGCCTTACCGAGGTGAGCAATGCATTCTTCCAGCACCTTCACAGCTGCAGCATAAATCCCCAAGTGCTTTGAGTTCAGGTTCTCAGTGACTGCTGCTATGAGAGAGACCAGCACTGGATGTAAGGCGCCTCTGAGCATGGGTATCATAAAAGCCAGCGCCTCCAGTGCCTGTTGGTTCACTTTCTTGTTGCAATCCTGAAGTCTCGGGGCAAAAATGTCAAAAATCTGTTAAGAAAAAAAATTACATGAAAGCTGGATTAAAATGTCTTTGTTTCAAGAAGGGATGTAGAAACAACCCAGCAATGTAAAAGATTAATGCAATCCTTTCTGTCAGGTCAGCGCTTACTAGCACAATTCCACTGTTTTCCTGTGGGCTATTCATTGTAGTAGTTGCACAACCTCATGCTGGTTGAAAAGATTTTCAGATTTTATTAAGAGGTTTGAGTGGGGACAGATAGTTCATGTGATGTTTCTCTTTACCTATAAATCATTAAATTAATCCCATTTTAATAATGCAAAATAGTATCTTTGGTATAGAGGTATGCAAACAGATATTTATGATGCCCATTTTTCCATGAAGTTGTCTCAAGTATCGAGGGTAGTTTTGATTTTGCCAAAACTGTGGCTGGATGAGATCCAAATTTTTTTCCATCTCAGAACCTGCATCTGGAGGAGTGCAGGGCTTTGACAAACTCTTCAGGATCCAGACCATTTGTCTAGCTAACAGGTAGACCTCTGAAGTTTAATGTGTTGTGCAGCTCTCATTAGAGCAGGTTCAATCCCTTGACAGCCACATTATCAGGCACTATTTTCCAGAAAAGGGGAAAAAAGGCAGTTGCTGGGAAAAGGAATAGAAGATCTGTCCCTAGACATTTTTCTCCTTTTTCCAAAGAGAAAAAAGGACCCCCAGGAAGGGTGAGAACAGTCTTCCCAAGCAGGAAAGGGATAAGGACAGAAGTGAATAGGCAGAGTTATATCTGCGCAAGACAAAGTTTACAGGAGCATCCTTTTAAAAAAAAAATTATTTTTTTTTTAATCAACCCAACCTGATACTTCTTTCCCCCATCCCAACCCATTTTTCTTCTAGAGAGTAATTGCTAAGCTTTCAGTGGCTGGATATCCTTTATTTCAACCTAACAGGTAGTACGAGACAAGAGAAGCTACAGTAACAGCAAATTCTGTCATCATCTCACGAACTTCACTGATAGGCACCTGCCAGAGAAATACATCCGGACTGAAATTATGCGCCCAGAAGCCTGGAATGGAATTAAATTATTTTGGGTAAGAAGGGACCAACCTGTCCCAAACAACTAGTATGCAGTGCCAAGACACACTGAGTTAACTTCACTGGTACAGACTTAGGAAGGGAGTTAACAAGGAAGGAGCAATAGTGATGCCCTACATACCGGGACAATGTTGGTGGAAATGAACCGGCGGCTGCTTTTGCAGTGTTCTAGGAGGAGTGCCACTCCCTCCATTCGGGGCTGAAAGTCCTTGGCTGTCAGGAGCTTGCAAAGCTCCTTGAGCTGTTCGCTCTCTTCTGCAGTCGGAAGTGATATGCGATGCACAGTCTGACAGGGTAAGGTGAGCATGTCAGAGCCAGACTTCAAACTGCAAAATAAAAACAAGGGAACACCTCTTGGCGATAACATCTTCAGTTAATTGTGAGGGAAACATCTCAAGGAAACTTCCTAATGATGTAATTTCAGCTAGATCCTGATCTGAAAAGCAACTTTGATCTGATGACAAACATTACAGGAAACAATCTGCAAGTAACATTATTGCTAGTACTTACTCAGGAAAACCAAGGCACTGAGGATGAGATTCATCTAATTTATCTTCAGATGTCTTCCCAGGTACTCATCTAGCATCCCATTGTGGGGAAAAATAGGCACTACTTTAAAGTTTAAATGCCTTACCTTATGGGAAGTGCCTATTATAAAGAAATTAATTACTCTGGAGAAGTGTCTCTACAACAGGTATGGGAATCTGGATAAATAGCTCAGATGCATCTGAATGGATGAATCCTACTCAGAGAGATTAAGGGGCATATCTGAAAGGAGCCAGAGAATCAGTAACAGAGATAAAAACAGAAGCCAGCCATCCCACTACTACGCTTACATTATTGCTTCCCTAGGGACTGGATCCACAGCTTTACAAACCCAATGGGAATAAATGAGCTCTCCAATGGAAACATAAGTATGGGGAGATCCTAACTATGCTAGTGAGGTGTGAGGTCATCTCCCTGCCACTGCTGACCACAACAGAGCTAAATAAATCCACTCTGTTATCAGAGAACAGGTACCAGTAGCTCTCCCACTGGCATGGGGAGACAGCAAGAACCAAATTCCTATCTTGAATGCTGATTGCAGCACAGGGGAACATCAAACAACCAACCAACCAACCTGTAATGGATCTGAATAACATGAATAGCTACAGAAAAAGTCTATGTTGAGACATCTGTTGACCAGAACTGCTGAGGAATTGTCTTGCTGGTACTGTTTGAGGGTCAGAAAGCAATGATTCAGCCAGGCCACTCCACATGCATGGAAAGTGCTATTTGGGGGAATGGCATCTTGGTTCTAGACTGGGACTTCTCACCAAACAACCCATCCAAAAAAGGTTCCACTCAGATAAGAATACCCTGATTGAAATTACTTGTCCCAAGTCAAACAGCAGCAACACGACCCTCTCACAGCCTCCACAACACTGTCCTCGCAACTGCACTGGATCTTCTGAGCTGCAACTGGTGGATATCTCTTCCTCTCTCCAACTTTTGTGGAAAACCCTCCAGAAAACTTGTGTTCAGCCTAATGCAGAAGTAGACATTTTTTATCATAGAAGATTTGTGGGGCAAGGCACAGCTCATCTCCACCAGAAAGATTTTACTGAGGAAGAGACATGTAAAGCTTGTCATGTGCTTTGTCAGATATAACAGAAGTGCTCAGTACCCTCCACCAGAAGGCAAGTTGTCCTGGGCCATCATCAAGTTGATCTTCCTAGACTTCCTGTGATCCTTGGCAGATGGAGGTTCACATTTATAGTCTTCTATCCCCTATACAAAAATATATTAAAAAAACATGAATCTATAGAAGATAAAATAGGAAATTACTTGTTTAAAACACAAGTTATAACCAGGATCACAGCTACCAAGAAAGGCTTAGAAAAACATTTCCTAACTTAAAGAGGGAGACAGGCCAGATTCAGTGATGTTTACTATTTGTTTTCAATAACCCAAGGCAGGTTATAGTTGCTACCATAATGGACAGCAGTATAAAATCCTGAATTCATTAGTCTTGAGCGTAAATGGGAATAATGCAAACTGGTAGGGAAAAAGCCTTCTTAAAGGGAATAGCAGGAAACTTCTGGACTCTCTGGAGGTCTCTTCACACTCACTCTCCTATTCCTGCCCAAAGGCACATTCCTTTCTAGAATGTAAATGGAGAGGAATGGGGTGGGGGAAGGGATTATTTTCTACTGGATGCTGAATTCACAAAGCTTCTTCCAGCTCCACAGTGCATGACAGCAGGGCAGTATTCCCAGAATACAGACAATATATGTACTAATTATGATTGCTTTGTGCATCTTTTGTATATTTCAAAATTTTCTTGGCACTACTGCTTCCATCATCTGTTGCAAAGACTCTATTATCTTCAGAAGCACTATTCTCACTTCCTTGCTTTATTGGAGCAAGGTTGGGTTTTTTATGGTTAAAGATAAAACCATTTTCTCCTACTTCCCTTTCCTGTTTGTGGCTGATATTCAAAATACACCCACTTTAGTTCTAACCATACTAGTTCCTTCACTGTCTGCATATAAACATGCTAAGGAGCAAAATGATTCAGCGGAAGAATAATGAAATAAAGAAAGATTAGGTATGTTTAATCTCATATTAGCAATCTCATTACTTGCATAAAGGAGACATTTCTCCTGCCAAGCACTTACTTTCTGCTTAATTGTTGCCATAACTTCTTCCAAGTCACGTGAGGGGGAAGTTTGTTTCAAATACTTAACAAATTTTGGATGACTCATCAATGTATTCAGCATCTTCCGTCCATAGCACCTAACACCGGAAAGAGAGAAGTGACTGTTTTTTCTACGGACTACTACTGTCTTTTCTCCCCTGTGAAAAAACAAAGAACCTTCTCATGAAGGTATTACACACGACGAGTTTAAAATATCAGCTTATTTTATACCTCTATGAGAAGGTATTACCTATTCAGCAGAGAGATATTTACCTCCACTTATTGGCACTGCACGATGCTGCCAGCCGAACAGAAGAGGCAACAGGAGAACACAGGGCAACAGGAAAACACAGTTTCACTCTGAAATTGTGGGTTTGCTTCTGTGGGATTGCAGGATCCCATGGGACAAGCAAAGCACATCTGCTTTGCTGTCGTGGTTTATCTGCAGTGTCTTGCTGCCATTGCACAGTAATTTACCCTTCTTTAACTGGTGGAGAAGCTAGGACAAATCATCTCATGCTTACTATTTATTATTTTATACTACATGTATGCACATGGGCAGCTAGTTGCTGATGTTTTCTTGCCATCTATTAATGGAAATTTAAATTAATCAAAGTAAGGGGGGTGTGGTTTTTTTGTTTTGGCTTGGTTTTGCTACTATGAAACTACAGCTATCTTCAAGAGGAAATCTGGAGGTCATTCAGCCACAGAAAACAACATTATACAATGATTGGGAAGAAAAATTTGTGACTACCATAGGCAACTAAATCTGCAGAAGGCATTTAGAAAGACTGAATACGTTGGTTGAAGACAGCTGGAATTTTGCTGGGACAGTCTTAACCTTACCAGAAATAAATGTTTGGCATCATTCAGTGATGAACAGTGGCCAAAGCTTCAGCTTTGCATTGTGCGCATAAGACCAAACAAAATTGTTTGACTGACTAATCTGAGTTCAATTAATCTGAATAAAGAATCATTCAAGTCACAGGAATTTGGCAATGGTCCTTCTTGCTGGACAACCTCATGTTACCCAGTACAGTCATTTCCCTAGACAACATTATGCACACTGTGAAGTAACTTTCTTAATATTTACTTTACCTTCCACTCTTTTGTGGTTTTATCATTTATCAGACATCAAACAGTTTTCAAATTTTATGAGGTGAAATAAAGATCATCACCTTGTGTCCTGATGACAGTCCTGAGCAAGCTTCACCAGCGTATGCACCAGCACCTCCGTACTAGCACGCGTGCCCGCCAGGAGCTTCTCAGCTCCAATTCGCTCTATCACGGTCAATAGGTGTTCAGCTGCACACTTGCGCACCAGTACGTTGCGGTGCCTGGAAACAAGAGAACAAGCACTGAGGCAGAGGTAAAAGGAGGGCCAGAAGCACAGGCCTCAGTCATAGCATGCTCCCTGTCGTTGCTGGGGGAAGGAGGCACATGTTCTTGCTGCTATTTTAGCCACCTGTAGAAGATCCTGTCCTCAGAGAAACACAAAGTTGGCACTGAACAGAGGGACTACCTGCAAGGAATAGAGAGGAACTCAATCTCCCTGGACTATCTGATAATCAATTTCTTTCCCAAAATTCACTCTGAGAAAGAGGGAAATGAGAGACAATTCATGCTGACTCGTCAGAGGCCTCCCACTACACAGAGCTGCAGCAGGATTGAGGCTTATTCCACTTGTTTACCTCCAAATCTGTAGACCCTTGAAGAAAAACAAACGGGGGGGAAAACCCCATAGGGCATGAAGCTGCAGAATATCCAGCTATGCAGCCAGTTTGTTCTTTGAGGCTTGGCAAGAGGTAAGTTTGAATGTTTTACCCTTTTTAAAAGCTGAGGAAAGGGTAGCAATCATTTTAGCCAGGTTGTCCTTTCTAGAGGGTGCCTATTTGAAAAACGCACTAATATTTTAAGGGAGCATTTGCTTCAGCTATCCCATGGGAGTCAGCCTGTGAAGGTGCCTATAAAGTGGCTTACCATCTCAAGGCTAACACGCAGCATCAATTTGAATAGAAAACGGAGCTCTAAGAACATGATAGTCAGACAGACTCCTCTCGACAGGAGGAGAGGAGGGCTGCTGAGCAGGCTGTGCTGCACCCAGCGGGTTCTCCCCCACATGCTCCATGTCCCAGCAATTAGCCTCCTTCTTTCTCAAGTTAATGGCGTAATGATGCACGGTTTTTCCTAGTGCCTCTGTGGTTAGTGTTGTGAAATATCAAAGGGTGCTCACTGCTGGAACTACCATTGTCCCTCTTCCCGCAAAGCCACAAAGCTATATCACCACCCTTTGCAGGGACTTTTGCTTCCCCATCATTCACCACATCTAGGCAGCGTTGACAGGCTGTGAGAACAAATTGGCTGCAGTAGGGCAGAAGTAGATGACAAGAGGAAGGGAGTGAGGTTGATTAGAAAATCTAATCACCAAGTTCACAAAAGGTGCAGAAGAAATTACCCTTCCCTCCCATCATTCCCCTTCTGCCTCCTGTCCCTTCTCCCCACCGACACAATTTAAGGTGAAAGGTATCACAAAGAGAAGAATGACATACTGAATTCCACTAGCCATGAGAGCAGTCATTGCTCTTGCAGGAGTCACGCTCCCCACCATGATCGCCAGGGCTCGATTGGCTCCTTTCTGAATGAACTCGCTGGTGTCCCCCATCTTCTGGAGCAAGACCTGAGCAATCATATCAACCTCGTGGTCCATGTGCTTCTTCATGGTCCTGAAGAGCTCTCCAAGAGTGCCGATTGCAAAGCGAGACACCTTCGTGCGGAGGTTGTTCACCTGGGGAAGTCATGAGGGGAAACGTAAGAATCACCTTCTAAAGAAATTCAGTTCCCCCAGACAAAAGTGTGAGGAAACAAGAAGGCTTCTCGCTGTGTCCAGTGGAACATAAGAGCACAGTAAGAGCAGAAGACCACAAGCACAGAAACACTTACTCTGACACCAACAACTTCTCTGGCCCACTTATACAATACAATTTTAATGAGACTGTGGGCCTAAAAAATATTGTTTCAACTAGAACAAAGTGTGCTACTTAGCCCATAATGTACACTGCTTTGATTTTAGGCCCTTTCATTGAAAATAAAAAAAAAATTAAAGCAAGGGCTGGTTTTAAACTATAAAGGCACAATTCATAAAGAAAAGATAGAGGACAAGTAGTACTTTCCTCCTGTCCAAAAATGCAGCACTGGCAGTTTGAGCACTCAACTAGGAAAGGGAAAATATGGGCTCAAGTCTACAGACCAATTCACAGCAGGGACTTGAGTCCATCTGTGGCTCCATCTACTCAGCAAACCCAGCTGTTGGACTCAAGGCACTCTAGGATCCTGGAGATCACATGCAATTACAAGCTGTCATCAGTGACGTTTTACAGCATTCAGTGCTGCTCTGGAGTGATCCCTGCTTCTAAAAGGCTCTCCCACAAGGGTAGGGAAGAAGCATGTGAGTCGTGCTTTATTTGAAAGATACTTTGAGGGAGAGACCAGTGGTTCTTTCTGCCAGACTTGGTTGTGCCTGTTAATAAAAAATGAACCATGTAAGTGCTAGAAGTGCTTGTGAAACCAAAATCTGGGACTGGAGTGAAATGAAAGCTGAAAGATGTCTCTGCACATGAGTGTGTAGAACAAAGAGGAGTAGATTTCCTCAGAAATATAAAAGTGATATAAAAATCAGATATGCTAAGCTAAAAGGGCTTCTTCTCCTAACCCTGATCTCAGAGTGGGAGAATCTGAGTCCTGCATATCTAAACAGAAAGCTTTGAAGAGTCCAACAACACACGGGCCATTCAAGCCTCCAATGTCATTAAATATTGAATAGAAGGACCGATTTTCATGGAAATGAGCTAAGTCTTACTGTCTTCTGCAAGCAAAGGAAAATTTAATACATTTGGCAATCATGTAGCAAGAGCACAAGGCAGCTGGTTCAGGCCACAGACAAATGCCAAGCTGGAAATACAGCCACAGATGTTTTTAAGGAGCTTAGGTTGAGACCTCTCTTTTAACCCTGAGAGATGAGAAAGCGAAGCTGTGCGTGACTGCCCTGCAAACCCTACAGCCAGGCCACTCCAAGCACCCAGTGGTGGCAGTGCAAAATACCCCCCGTGCACAGAGGTAACAGATCAATAGAAAGGGCAAATTACCAAGAAGCACGCAGAAAGGAAGGAAGAGACATCTTCAGGAAACACTGGAAGATAAATACCTGCAGTCAATGTCCTGGGATGCTGAGGAGGAGGAGGAAGTGGGAGGAAGCTGGGAGGCAAAAGCTGCAGTCTTTAATTATGATTTAGGCTGTGGCAAATCACCTGATTAGTGTCTCAGTTTCTACATTTGTATATTGCATCATAATGACACCTAGCTCAAAGAGGAGACAGACAGATGCCCTACATACCAGTAAATATAGCTGTATATACAGACAGATCATATAGATAGGTGACATAGCTATTGGAAAAATGAGGTCTAAAAATAGCAATGAAGGCAGACACTGAGCACAGAGGTAAATAAACAAGCACATATCTACTCTACACCCCATGGACAAGGTACGTGGGACACAATTAAACACAATGTTCTTACCTCTTTGGTAACTGCCAAGGAAACATCATGAAGTCTAGAAAGAAGGACTTCTGAGTGGCAGATAGCCAGGCGTCTGACGCTGAAGAGTCCCTTCGCCTTCTGCTCCCTGAAAGGCAATTACGAAAAAAATTGATTTTTCTCACCACCCAAGAACTAGGCAGCACCCTCTGCAGTTACCAGGGTGTCAGCTTAAACAAACAAAGGGAGGTGCTTCTCATACAGTTCTTAATTAAATTGTGGAACTCGTTGCCACAGGATGCTATAGCGGTCCAAAGCGTACAGAAATCCAAAAGGCAAGTACATGTTTTCCAAGTGCATGGGTTAATTTGTGGCCGTTAAAGAAGACAGCCTTTCTGAAATCCCTGGCATACGAAGTCCCTCTGTTGCTGCTTCGTAGAAGCTGGGAGACTGTGCCATGTTTCTGTTCCTTGCACTCTCCCTGTCCCTGTCTCTGAGATACAGCCCCGCCTGGCTGTTACTGTGGCGTTTTCCTTCTTTGCCATCCCAGAGGACAGTTCAGCAGTGAGAGTCTACACCGCCACTCCATAGCTGAGTTTGTACTCTGCAATCTAGTAAAAAAAAAAAACAAACCAAAAAACCCACACAAACAAACAAGAAGTAGTACATCCTAAAGATTCCACACTCTTCAGAGTAAGAGGAGCCAAAATGCTGGATTTTCCAGAAAATCCCTACTTACAGCCACACATTATTTAAAAGTAGTAAAAACCTACATCTTTCATCACTTTCTTTGTGAAGGACCTGAGCTACATGAAGGCACACAACGCAGTTACTGCCTTGCTAGGACTGCAGGGCAGAACTGGGGTCCGTCTCCACTGGGGTCCCTGAGTGTAACCCGGACCCCCCCCACGCCTGCAGCAGCTCTCTGCACCTCAGAGGGCATCAAACAGGAATGGGCAAGACAAAGGGGAGAGCAGCAAAACAAAGTGAATGCACAAGGAGATGCATGATGGAAGATTTTTTCATGGTTATCCCAGTGTGAATGGAGCCCCAGTGAGTGTATGCTGACCCAGAAATCAAAAGGACAACCACTATCACCTGAAATTTGTAGGAATCTCTTCCTGTCTGTGTCTAATTTCAGGACACACTGTGATTATCAACAAAACATCTCTGGCACGTAATAAGCAGTGAGAAGGAAAAAGTTTAATACTAAAAATGCAAGATTCCTAAGGGATTTTTTTTTCTTTTTCCTTGTCTTCTGCCATGAGCCCTTCAGGAGATATGACAGGCTGAGCAACTCTACCATATCTCAGTCCATTTCTGAGAAATAGGAACTCCCTATAGGTGCTCCTGGGGCTCATGTGCAGGTCACAGAGAGGTCCCATCTCCTGCTGCTGCTGCCAGCAGTGGGACCAGAGATAAATCCTTACTCAATCCTACCCAGGAGCCCCCCCTAAATCTCTAAACTTAAGAGTACTTCCGTCCTGCTTCTGGCTTCAGCCAGCAAATCATCTTATTCCACAACTAACTTTCTTCCCTGAAGATTTCATTTGCAGCTACACAGAGCAGAAGGAAAAGCTAGAAAACAGCATGGACCTGCTGTGGCTGTAGCACTGCTACAGACCAAGACAAATAAAAGGCAGCTCTCATATCTTTGTACTGTGACTGCTTTGGAGTGGTTTCACTAGTTCTCTTTGGACATCTGGGCTGTCTGGCCTCAGAGGCACTAAAAAACCCCATTTCTAACTTACCTTTACACTGAGAGGGAGAAACAGTGAACAGGGTGTTTTCTTACCAATCGTCGCTGCTCAGCCATGTGAGCGCGTTGGGCAGCTCCTGCTGTGGGTAAGGGAAGGGTCTGGCTTCCCGGGCATTCCCTGACTCTGCCTCATCTCCCCACTCCAGGAAGTCCAGAGCAATGGCAGGCAGCGAGGTCACTGTAAGGAGAGGGTCAGACATCAGCATCGCTTACCCCGGGGCAAGGCACCCCACCGCTGAGCAGACTGCAAACTCATCTCCCAGCCAAGACCTCATATGGGTGCAAACTGGCATTGGTTCAGAGACTTCCCTGCTGGATGGCTCATTGCTTTCCCCAGCACCCAGCCATCTCCCAGTCACCCTCAGCTGGGCACCAGCTCCTCGTGTAATCATGAAAAATGCGGAGAGCCAGCTCTCAAGTCCATACAGGTGCCACAGCCAGCTTGCAGATTCATAGTGGTGCAGAGCTCACGCTCACTGGGAATGATGCTGCCCAGCAAGGTGTGCTATCCCAGGAGTAAACTCTCGAGATGTACACATACCTCCCTGTTACCTGGAGCACTGGGGACAGAGCCACCCTCTAACTTTCTGAGGAAACACCTCCAGCTGCCCACAGTGTGCACCAAGCCTGAACAACTGAGTCCTGCTGGGCTCAGGTGAATCCCAGAGGACCAGCCACCAGGAAACAGTGATACCTCACCCTCTAACTCTGACAGTGCCTCTGTTTCCATTTACTTCAAATATTCTAGACAGCAGGCAGCTGAGCACACATACATTTTAGCATACTATTGGGAAAGCAATAGTTTATGGATTTTGCTGTTTTCCAAGTGTTATGAATATTTACTATTTCAGAGGTACCCACTGGCTGTATTTTGAAGATGCTGAGGTGAAATTTATTTGTCATCAAATGTACTTGTTTGCAAACTGTGCGATGCCTAAGCTTTCTCTTGTGGAAAAATGCAATTTCTAGTCTAGATAGTTCTGACAAAAAAGCCTTCCAAATGTGAACTGAGAGTAAAAATATGTAAATATAGATGCAAATTGTTGGCAAACACACTCTCTTGATGATAAATATACAAGGTATAAGAAAATTCAAATGACAAATGCATTTGTTATGAAACCTATTTGTCATCAAAAGCACCGTAGGTCAAAAATTTCATGTCTTGCACTCAAAAGCTCATTTTCTAAAGTGTAGATGAAAACATCTGAGCTGCCTAAAAGTATTGAGTATAAATATTGCACAGAATCTAGATGAACTGATATGGGCTCTGTAGGGTTTTTATGCTACCTTGCATGTTCTACAAAGTATGGAGGATGGAAGAACTGTAAAATCAAAAATACTCAGATAGGGACTAATTTGGATGTCACCGATATCGCTGTCACTGACCTCAGTGATGTCACTGCACAAGTATATACATACATACATCTATATTCAATATGAGAGCTACATCAGGCTAGTTCTGGTCAATTTTGAAAATCAGAGAAGCATCACTAGAAAAGAGCATTCAAAGTATTGTTCCTAGCTCCCTTTTTCTTAACTTATGCTATTCAGGATCATACCACAAGGTAGGCTACCCACCAAGCAGAGACAAGAATCCCTATGAACTCACTATCTGCCTTATATTTATTGCAGGTAACAAGCAGCCTGGGAGCACTGGGCAGCCTCTCCTGTATGTCATCTGTTACACACACCATTGTATTTGAGTGGGGTAACAGAACTTGTTGCCAGTTTGCGTTGCAGGTGGTGGGATGAAAGAGGCTAGAAGCTGTTAAGCACTTCTAGGTGCAACAGCGTGACTGTACCAAGTCATTAATTTCCATGCAGAGAAAAGCCATGCTGCAGTAGTAGAAAAACTGGCTGAAGAGCCAGACAGCAGCATAGGCAGAGGGCCAAGACGGTGAGTGGCTAATTGATCATGGTGGTACACATATGTGCACAGTGAGCACACCTTGCCAGACTGCACCAGAGCTTAACCCTGCAGTTACAGCTGCCTCCCAGTTCCAGTGTTGTATTTTGGACTATCACTAGGCAAAAGCTAGAGCTTAAGGCTTTACCACTACTTTATTCAGCTAAACTTTCCAATGGATCTGTATGCACCAACTGCTCCAGTATGACCAAGCAGGAGCAGATCCAAAGCAGGTTTGCTCTCAATCCTCAGGACAGGCTTTGGACCCAATAGATCCTACCTGTGGTTGAGGAATGAGGCAGTTTGTGCTCCTTGTGCAAGGAAAGAGCTGGTGCAGGGGCTACAGTGGAGCGGACTCACCTGAGGACTTGCGTGGGATGCTGCCACCCCGGTTGATGACAGGGATGCTGGGCAGTGAGGGCCTGTTGACCCGCTTCCTCAAGGCAGTACCAGAGCTTTTTTCTCTGCATACATTTCTCGTGGTGGAAGAGCTGGAATCTGTCCCATTGAGAGGTGGTAGGCCAAAGCCTGCAGAGACCGAAAAGGACTTTGTAAGTGGAGACTACTAGACAGGGTGGCTATGGGCTTAGAAAGTCTAGAAATCTTGCTGGAGCTGGATAACATCCCTTTGTTGTCCCAAACAACTCCAAGCATAACAGCTGTACACTAACATGGGACAGTGATCACAAAATCATAGAATAGTTTGGGTTGGAAGGGACCTTTAAAGGTCATCGAGTCCATCTTCAACTGGATCAGGTTGCTCAGAGCCCCATCCAACCTGACCTTGAATACCTCCAATGATGGGGCATCGACAACTTCTCTGGGTGACCTGTTCCAGTGTTTCACCAACCTCATCTTCCTTATATCTAGTCAAAATCTATCCTCTTTTAGTTTAAAACCAAATGCAGTGATGCTTTCCCTAAGAAATAAGGAAAACTCAGTACTGCTTTTCTTTTGCTTTCCTGTGTCAGAGGGTGAATAGGGAAGTTACATTTCTGGGGCTCCCACCTCAGCACTCTTCACCAGAACTTCAGAATAGCAAGAAAAAGAGCAGATAACCTTGCCTGATGTCCTTGGGCTGAGTGCTGACTCTTAAGTTCCCTGCTGCTGTACTCATGGTAGCATGTGCAGCAATACAATCAGAGCCCGTCAGCTGCAATTAAGTCACTAACGCTGCTTGCTCACGTGGGTAAAACACAAGCACAGGCTAAGGGCTCCAGCACGGCTCTGCAATGCAAGCTCCTCAGCAGGGAGTAGTGTGAGCAGGATAATCTGTCCTACCACATGAATGAGATCTTTTGCATTTTAATTAGAAATAGTTTAATTTTGTATCTTCCAGGTTGCACCTTGGTTGAAAAGCATTCTTTTGGACTCACCCATTCACATTTCCTGGAGGCTGCTCTCAATTAGAGAGTCCGAAGCCCCAATGTAGTTTGCAAGACAGAATTATCTAGTCTGAAAGACTTAATAGGAGAAGGGGGAAAGGTGATATTCTGTGACTGACTCGGCATGGGCCATGGGCAAGACACTTCATGTCTCTATTTTTCTTTGGAAAACGGAAATAAATCCTATTCTAACTTCCACTCAGGTGCAAGTGTAACAGCCTTCCAGTCTGATTTCATAGACATTTGCAATGCTATGCAAATAGCAAGCAAGTGAACAAAAAGGCCCACAACTATAGCAACCACTTACTTTCTTTGTCTGCATCCTCAGGGTCAACAGTCTGTGTAAGGAGCTGCAGGGACTTTTCCTTTTCTCTCTCTTTCTCCCTCCGTCTATGCAAAAGCTCCATCTCTTTCATTCGCTTCTGCTGTATTTTCTTCTGAGCTGACTTGGACAAGGTAATATGGATCTAGTTGCAAAGGAAATACATCATAGAGCATAAAGAGAAATACACAAACCACACACAACACCTTATCAGGAGCACAGTGATAGAGTGTCATAGTCTTTAATCAAGCTCTGTATATATCCCAATAGTTTCAGAAGAATTCCTTCTTTCCTCACCTTGGCATACAGTTACACCCAGTGATGTACAAAACTTTATTATCATAACCCTCCACTGGTCCAAGGTACTGTTTCTCAACCTTTGTCAGGAAGCCTTGCTTGAACCGAGAGAATCATAGGAGTGCGCCAAGATGAATGAAGAGCTCACATTACTAGTGAACAGAAAGTTGAGTTCCTACAGGCCAGGGCAGGGGAATAAAACCCATCTGTAATTTGCTGTTTCTTAACACTCATGGCCAGGTAATTGCATCTGCTTCTCATTTCCTTGCTTCTGAAGGACTCAGCTACTGAGAGCACAGGAGTCCAAAAAAGGAGCCATGTGAAAACAAGTTGGAGAAACATTGCTCTTAATTAATAGAAAATTTGAGAATGAGGGGGCTTTGAGATACAGCAAGAAAGGTAACCAAGGAAAAGCAAGCTCTCCCATTTTATTTTGCAGACTTGCTTACACTCAACATTATAATCTTTGCTTCTGTGCTTCCAAGCATGCGTTTTGCACATGTTCATTGATGTGTAACTTTTCTGCCATTCAGATCTGCTCTAAAGCAGATAAAGAATGCTTCTTGTGTAACCTTAGCACCACCTCCCAACCAATAACTTTTGCACCAGTGAAAATACTCAAGCAATTGCTCTATAGCTGTCAAATGTATTCCCAAGAGAATCTGCTCTCCCAGACAGAAAGATTATGATTTTCAGTGACATCTTGTGCTAAGCACTGAACAGTCACTGAAAAGGAAGCCAGCTCACCCCTGTCCTTAGCCCTTACCCTTCCATTGCTGTCCTCCAAGTCATCGTCACTCAGAACAGGAGGGCTCATGAGATGATCCATTTCCTTGGCCTGACTGAGTGGGAGGCCTGTTAATGGGGGCACAGGTTCACATAAATGTTCAGCAGACTTCACGTCACCAACAATGTGATACTCGAGAACAGGCAAGACGGGTTCCAGAGTATGGAGATCTGATAAGACACAGATATAGATTGTGTATGAGAACAGCAAGGTACATATAACTTCTCCAAACAGATGGGGTACTACCATATTGCACTGGCAGCAGAAATGACTGGCCATCAGATTCGAACCTACTACATGATAAAGGCCTCAGCCCTTGGCTTCTGGTGAGCACCTGTGTTTGATAAGAGAAGAGCAGAGAAATGAAGGCTGCCATTGCCAAAAAGGTTCTTATCTGTTCCTATCCATTTTGATTTTAGTAAACATCTTCTTTTTCCCAGTTACTGAAAGAACTTCCGCTTTTTAATAGCTATATGCTTTTGTAGAGGTAGGAATCAACAGTTCCCCCTCTTTGCTGGGATATTTTAGAGGGCATTTAAAGAAAAGCTTAGGATTGCTAGAGTGTTAGCAAAACCAGAATTGTGTTCTTGAAGCTAGAGAATTCATTTTCCCCCAGGGATTTCATTCTAAATTGTGGCAGATCAGCCCACTTTCTGGGCAGCCTGACGAAGGGCTGATTTTCTTAATGGGAATAGCACAGTGCAGCTCATTCCGAAATACTCTCCAACAGAGCTGTTAAAACTCAGAGAACTAATCATTCCTTACATGGCTTCACAGATGATAAAATCATGTGATAGCCGAGCAGTAAAAAAGGAATAACTTTCTTAAATCAAGATTTTTTTTCCCCGCAGAGCAGTCAGGTCAACAATAAAAGAGAGAGAGAGATGGTGTAATGATATAGCTCATTTCTAGTCCAGAATGTATCCAGCAAAGATATCACCTTACTTACTCAGCAATACTTCTCCCTAGTTGCATTCAGCATCCTAGCTGCATATCAGCAATAATGGAATCATTCCTGTGGGGCGTACCCATTATTTGGCAGAACTAACACTGTGCTGAGAGACCAGTGGATCTTATCCCTTCTTCTGCATCAGCAAAATTATTTGTTAAACTCTCATCTCTCCTATTGCTACAAACCCACAGATGGCAAAGGGACGGCTACGGTGTCATTGAGGTTTTCAACTTAAAAATATTGGCTGACGCAGATGCACCAGACACCACATTTTGTCTTGCAGAGCTCTTATTGCTAGTGATAATGCAAGGCAGGGAGGGAGAAGAAGCCAGTAGGCATCTCCTACCCCAGCCTCAGTTTGCAATAGTGACATATGCCGATAGAGTAGGGGAAGAGATTTGTAATCATAAACCTAACATATGTGGTAAATGAGTTGCAAAAAGGAAACCTCAGTTCATTACTCAGCATTTACTTTAGGCTTGTGTTTTAAGAGGGTGGAAAGCTCAGATCCTGCATAGGCTGGATCCTTTTTAAAGTTTCTTTCTCTGTAAATGGAAAATTCACAAGGACTTCTGTGCTGGTTTTGGCTGGGGTAGAGTTAATTTTCTTCATGTAGGAGGAAGGAGTGGGAACATTTCTAATTTCATGCAAAATGCCTCAGTTTTCTCCAATCTTTGTGACGTTAGAGAGCATGCAGGGTGATAAAAGGTATGAACATGAGGTAGAGGAACGTTTTCTTTTCCTGCTGTGCGTTTCCAGGGCCCCAAGGTATCACTCCAGCTCCTGCCATTCATAACTCCATGCTGGAGTCATTTTCACTGGATCACCAGAGCACATTTCCAGTGACTGGGCTCTGGGGGAGCCATCTGAGCACATCAAGGAACTGAAAAAAATTACAGGATGATTTTCAACCAAACTTCCACAGTGCCACCCATGGGTCAGGATTCCTATGATCATTTTAGGACAGCCATGCCCTGTACCCACCTAGATGTTTAAGGGTCTCCTCTTCGCTGCTGCTGCCTGATCTTGGCCTTAAGAAAATGGAGGATAAAAGAATATATGAGGAGATAGAAAGAGATGGGGGGGTAGCATTAAAGGAGGAAAACTTTCTTAGCATGGTCATTCTGATGAAGGAGGAAATGCAACCCATAAAACCAACAATATGGAAAGCCAGTTAATTGCCATTAAACTTGCAGTCTCTGGAGTTACACAGAGCTCATCAAGCTCCAGCTGAAACACAGGAGCCATTCTTCAATTTGGGCCTTAACTATCTCATTCTGCTGTCTCTCCTTTTGGAGCTAAGTGGCTCTCACTGTTGCATACATCCTTTCTGAATCAGCAAGAGATGTTAAGCCAATCATAAGTCTGTATTGAGGGCAGCTACCTTTATACTCCAGAAGCCAAACTTTGCCTGCCCATGCCTTAAACTGATGACAATATCTTGTTACACATGGTGGTACCACTGCTGTCTCCTAAGAGTAATATTACAGCTCCCTGCTCTTTCAAGAAGAAAAAGGGTTTTTCCAACACAACTGGTAGGTAAGTATATTCAGATTGCACTTTAAAAGCCATGCTGAAGCTTTTAAATTGGAACTATATTTCTGTGACTCCTTATTTATTGTTATAACTAGGATAAGGTTGACAGCTAGATTTCCTCTCACATATCCAAGCAAATATCTTTCCATCAGTTACAGCCCTATAACTGTTCTCTAGCACCTCGCCCCCTTTGATCTTAAAGCCATATGTAAATATTAAATATCTATAAACATACATCTATAAACCAAGATTTATCTGGGCTGTCATTTCACAGTGAAGGCCCAGACACAGGGAAGTTACGATTGACATTTACAGACGCAGCATTTGAATTTGCAGACAGCTATACAATAGCCAATATTTGCCCTAACATATTCTTGCAGGTACAGAAATTGGTGGTCAAAGATCACACACAAAACCAGATGTTGTATTCAGATCCATGCAGTACAGTTCCCAAACAGCATCACAAAGATACAGAATGAATCAGTATCAGAGCCCAGCGAGGACCTGCTTTTAGGGTACTCTTAAATTCTGCCTCCTCCTCTCCCCCCCCCCGCCACCCCTGCTCTTAGAGGGTATGATGTTGATTTTGACATTGTGCTGGATCATCATAGATATGCGAAATGGTGAACGCATAGAAGTTTGCATAAATATATTGGAGAGCTGACTATGGAAAATAACCTCACTAGACAAGAAGCGTGAGGTGAATGGCCTATTGGAGAAACAGACACTTTAGCTTACCTCATCTCCAGGTCCTCTTGGAAATCCAGATCCTGAGAGCTTGGGAGAGGCACTGCAGCTCTACCAGGAGCCCTATGAGATGGTCTTGCTGACTTGGGGATAGGGGGAATCAAATCCACTTGCAGTGATTTCTTCCCATCCCCACCACTGCAGGGCAGCAGGGAAGCCTGGAAATAATAGAACACAGTACTCAGCTTGAGCATCCAGCCTTCCCCCTTTGATGCCACAAGAAGTTTAGCCATGCTCTTAGCTAGGACTTGGCAGGAAAAGAAAAGTCAAACTGATGGAGCAGCTTGGCCTAAGATGGGCAGTGGAAAGGGAAGTGATGAGGGAGAGACCATGTCCCATGCTGTTGCCACTTCTCTCCCCTTGCTCACCTTTCTGTCAGTGGCTGCATTCCCACTTGGCATCTATCTGTTTGGTGTAAGGATATTCTGGGGTGCCATTGCCTCTATTAGCCTTTCTGATGGTACGGGAATGGGTTTAGATCACTATCTTCTCACTGTCCCTAAAGCGCCTACGAGCCATTGCTGAACTCCAGCCGAGTCCCCATAAAGTCATTTTGCTCTTCTCAAGCCCATAATTTTTTCTGCTTCTGCCCTTCCTACAGTCCCCCACCAGCCTTTCGGTCCAGATGCTAATGTGCTCTCTGGATGCTCAGTGCTCTCCAGCTCCTACACAATTCATCATCTCAGGCTCACTGTCATTTATGAAGTTCAGCAGAGCTCCCTACCCTGCTGCTCTGTGTAAGGTCTCTGCCTGCTGAAATTACTTCAGGCTCCCCATGCCATTGCTAGGAAGGGGGGTGGAGGGAGCAGGGACAGATGCACACCCTTCCTTAGTATCCCATCAGTCTTGTCACAGCTAAAGAGCCACATTAGGACCTGTTCAAACACCAGCAAAAACAGAGTTAATGTCAGGGATACATCTAGCCCTGTATCTGCAAGGCTGAAATAAAGTACACTAACCTTTTATTGGTTATCCTGTTCACAAAAGCTGTTATTAATCTGCCTTCTGCCCACCACGGCAAAAATCAAAACAATTGCAGCTTCTGTTTCTCGTGCAAAGGCAATCGAGTGGATGGGGTCTGGAGTCCCCATGGCCAGAATTGCCAGTTCCCATCACTTACCCCTGGGCAGACCCATGGAAAAGGATAAAGCTACACAGGGGCCACTAAACCCTAGAAATATTATTAGAGATAAGTATGCAGAAGAACATGGCTATACAACTCAAAAGCTAAGAGACAACCTAAAGTTGAGTTTGTAGAACTGCCTGCTCCAGCAAACATCTTTTTCCATCTAAACCAGATAGAGCTGATATAAAAAGCCACCAAGACACTGATGTGTCTGCAACAGTAACCACAACATACAGATGGTTCACAGATATGTGTATTTTACTAACTGTAGAAGGATGTGCCTGACCAGATTAGACTCATTTAGTTGCTCCGATTGGTTGCTGGTGTTTTGTCAGTCATAAAACACAGCAGGAGCCACTAGACAGCACAGAAACTATTTAAAGACCTCTTCTATTGATACACACTGAGGACATGAAGTCTGCAGTATGCACGTAGCAAAGACAGCCTGAAGGGCAATGCCCAGCTGAGCTCTTCCTTCTCTCAGCTGCTTCCCTGGGCTCACACCACAAGGAAAGAAGATCTCGGAGCTCTGCCTACAGGAAATAAACTGAAGATCTACCACATGTGATTTGGCTTGGTTTCCTTACTTGATATCCTTGTCCCTCTGACATCAGCTTCTCGTTACTCCCATCACTTTCATCACAGCCTGTGCCGTTCTCCCCATGCTCGTGCTCTCTGTTGCTCATCCAGCTGGTCTCTGAGGAAGGAAGGCTGTTCTGAACGGGAGGCACAGGCTTCGAGTTTACCAGGAGCCTCTGGGAAGCTGAGCTGGAAACTACTGGCTTTGGGGTAAACTCCTTAGGGTCACTGCAGTCAGTCAGGCCTGAAAAGCAGAGACACAAGGCCTAATAGAAGCAGCACTGCCAACCTAAAGCACCTGAAGCTAGATATTTCATTGGACGGATTTCTTGGAAACTTCTCAATAACTGCACAGTGAAACATGATCATACTGGCAGCCACTTGAAGCAGGCCAGTGGACAACACTTACCCACTTCTACAGATCCACTAGAGGAACACCCTGGTGCTCTGGGCTCCCATTTGACAGCAGGGAGCCCACAGAGCTGTGCTTACCCAGAATAAGTGACCTGCATTGTGGTGGGTTGACCCTGGCTGAGG